ACAGGCATGCGTGCAAAATGCAAACAGTGCAACAAAGAAGGCCTCATTGCCCGAATGAAACATCATCATGAGAAGTGTTCCTTGCTGCGTTGAAGATGATAAAAGAACATGTTTGAACACGCAGGATCTTCAGGTTGGTAAACTTTTTTATTTCATACTTCTTTCTTAAGGATTGCCTGTCTTCCTTCTGGACTATTCTTGAATTCTCATGTTTGAGCAAAAAATATAGTTGTTACTCTATGGTACTATCATTTTAGATTCAGTTGTGATAAAAAAAATAAATAGCTGAAATAGGCAGATCTTCCTTTTACAATTTCACCTTTAAAGTAGTACTGAGTGTCAGTGAATGTAATGAGTGGTACTAAATGAGCAGTAGGGTAATAATAATTAAATAACTGCATTGACTTATTTTGTTTAGGAGAATCCATCCTCAACATACAGGATTCTGAAGACTATCCACCTTCAACATCACCATCTTTTTCTATAGTTTCAGAGTGATCTGCCAATGATAGTGTTTCAGTCACATCATGTATGTCACATAGCCACAGTATATCACCTGTAGCAAAAAGAAAAAAAAATCCATCATCCAGAAACAACCATAGATAAGTTTGTGATAAGAACCAGCAGATTACAAAAAGAGATAATTAATGAAAAAAATGCCCAGTTTGTTTATGCAACAAACTCTCCTTTCCATATGACTGAGAACCCACACTTCATTAACAAGGTTCAGTCATTAAGACCAGGATACAGTCCCCACAACAGAGCGGATGTTGCAGGCAAATTGCTGGATAAAGTGTATGAAAGAGAAGTTGAGCAGTGTGCAAAAGGTCTGGAGAGTAAAACTGCGCCACCCATCAAGACTCAGGTTAACAATGTCCACAATGATTTTGTTGTATGTGCTTGTGTGACAACAGAAGAAGGGAATGTCTTCCTTACAGAAACAATTGATATATCAGGAAATGCACACACAGCAGAATGTTTACAAGAAGCAGCAGTAAAAGCTATAACAAACTGAAAAAAAATTCAAATGTCTAGTATGCAGCTTGATCACAGACAATGCTGCAAATGTATCCAAGATCAGAAAAAATTATTTAGGAGAGTGTGAAGAGAGTCCCAAGCTAATAACATATGGTTGCAGTGCTCATTTGATGCACCTCATAGCTAAAGACTTCTGTGTTCCAGAAATAAAGGCTAATGTTGTTGAAATTGCAAAATACTTCCGTAACAACCACTTTGCAGCAGCTGCTCTGAAAAAAAGTGGGAGGAACCAAGCTACTTCTCCCACAAGACATGCGATGGAACTCAGTAGGTTGACTATTTTGAGCACCATATCAAGAACTGGCCTAATCTGACGACAGTTTGTGAACAAAATTGTGAAAAAAATAGATGGCACTGTCACAGCCAAAGTCATCAACATTGGGCTTAAGAGAAATGTTGAACACATGCTGAGTAACCTGAAGCCTATTTCTGTAGCCTTGAACAAAACACAGGGAAATAGCTGTTTTATTGGTGATGCTGTTGAAATCTGGAAGGCACTGAGTGAGATCTTTAAAGAGAAATATGCAATGACAGAGTTAAATTACAAGCATTAAAAAAACGAATGGGCCCCACACTATAAGAAGGATGTGGAAAAATTGGAAAGAGTCCAACGGAGGGCAACAAAAATGATTAAGGGGCTGGAGCACATGACTTATGAGGAGAGGCTGAGGGAACTGGGATTATTTAGTCTGCAGAAGAAAAGAATGAGGGGGGATTTGATAGCTGCTTTCAACTACACCTCTACCTCGATATAACGCTGTCCTCAGGAGCCAAAAAATCTTACCGCGTTATAAGTGAAACCGCGTTATATCGAACTTGCTTTGATCCACCAGAGTGCGCAGCCCCGCCCCCCTCCCCCCGGAGCACTGCTTTACCGCGTTATATCAGGTCGCGTTATATCGGGGTAGAGGTGTACACCTGAAAGGGGATTCCAAAGAGGATGGATCTAGACTGTTCTCAGTGGTACCAGGTAACAGAACAAGGAGTAATGGTTTCAAGTTGCAGTGGGGGAGGTTTAGGTTGGATATTAGGGAAAACTTTTTCACTAGGAGGGTGGTGAAGCACTGCAATGGGTTACCTATGGAAGTGGTGGAATCTCCTTCCTTAGAGGTTTTTAAGGTCAGGCTGGACAAAGCCCTGGCTGGGATGATTTAGTTGGGGATTGGTCCTGCTTTGAGCAGGGGGTTGGACTAGATGATGTCCTGAGGTCCCTTCCAACCCAGATATTCTATGACTAGCACTATCTCCAGCTCATTTTCTTGCAAATATTCTCAATACTCGGTACCAGGGTCAAACCTTAACTGCTGAAGAAGAGGAGTTGGCTATGACATGGACATCCAGCAATCATCTCTCCATAATGCCAACTATAATAAACTTCAGAGCTAAGGGTGAACCATTCAAAAAATATATGTTTGCTGATGATGTTTTAAAGAAAGTCACACCAGTGAACTGGTGGAAGTAACTTAAGCACTTGGATTCAGAGACTGTTGAAGTGATAATCTCGCTTTTAACAGCAGTAGCTTCTTCTGCTGGTGTAGAAAGAATATTTTCTTCCTTTAGACTAATTCATTCAAAATTGAGAAATCATTTGGGACCTGAAAAAGCAGGAAAGCTTGTTTTTCTTTTCCTGATTATGAACAAACAGGAAAATGAAGGTGAAGACAACTGAGTTAGCTGTAGAAGCCAATATTTTAATGTTTTTCATGTTAAAAACAATTTTAACAAACCTGATTTTAAAAAACTTGAATGTTTAACTAAATTCAAACGCTTGTTTGGTTAAAATATTATGTTTGCTGTTGAAGAAAAAAAATCCAGAAAATACAACATTGTTGTTTTAATTAAATAAAACAATTTAAATGTCTGTCTGGTGATGTTCTCCTCCTAATACAGCATGGCAAGAAAATCCTCCAAATATTAATGATTAACCTCTTGAATTGGAGATAGATATTCATGAAGTCATTGGGAGGTGAACTGCTTCAAATTACCTTTGGTAAATGAAATAACCAATCGTTCATTTTCTAATATAGCTGTAAAACTAATCTGAAAAGTTTTCAAAATAAATCATTTTTAAAATGTATAATGTGTACCTTCTAAAAATGAAACCTACAATTCTCTGAGTTGTGAAGAATATGTATTAAAGTTATGACAACCAACAAGAATACACTTTTATGTAGCAATCCATGATTAAATTGAGTCTTCCTGACTAGTGATTTAAATCAAATCCACCCTGACTAAAAGTCCACAGATATGTATCAAGGTATTTATAAACAAAGACACAGTCATCAGAATTTGCAGAAGCAGCATGTTGTAATATCTTTGCCCAAGTTATATAGCATGAAACTTTTATTAGAAAGAGTACGTGTATTTTATAAGCCAAGATGCAAAATTCAGCATTTCTGGTACAATATTAATATCTTTCTGTTTTCATTGTTTGTAAAATGTAATGTCTATTGGCCAATTAAAACAAATTTACAGTATCATGACCTCAAGAATTCAGCCGTTTGATTGATGTTTATGTTCAGCAGCCAAGCCCATTGACCAACTGTTACAAAACAGATTACAGGACACAGCATCTGTTTCTCCTACAAATGCCCAATGAAGACAAATTAGCCAACCTGCAACACAGCCCGTATGTTTCTTCCCAAAGGCTTTGTTTCTCTTTCTTCCCATAGATTTTTTTTTGTTAAAGAAAGACTCTAGGCTGGCTTTCTCTGTAACAGATGGGATTCCTGGCAAGTCTTGGCTTGCTTTCCTCTAAGTCAATGCTTCAGTGGTGCAGGATCAGCATCAGAACCCCAAAACAGCACTCTCTTAGCATAGAGGTTCCCAGCCTTTTTTTTTTTTTAAACCATGTCCCACCTTGGCATTTTTTAAGTTTATTTTATTTTTAAAAGCTTGGCTTCCCCGCCCATCCTTACAATGCGAGTAGACTGACACCTAGTGTTCTGTGTGTGTGTTCATGAACTACTAGGCAAATTACTCAAAATGCAAGTCAAATGGTGCTATAAAAACATTCCTACCTGTTTAGAAAGCATCAGATAAGGGGAGCTGGAAGGATGGCAAAAGTAATAAGTGCCAAGTCACAATGCCACTCACTCAAATTTAATCTGACTGTCCCTCCCCAAAATTTGAAAGAGAGAGAGGTACTGTGATCTGGTAATTGCCCACCCACCCATGGCACTTTTACTCTAAGACTCACTGTGCCGCTGCCAACCCCCTGCTCCTCCAGAAAGTTTGATGCACTCACATTCCCCCATTGAGAAAGTCTGTGTTAGCAGGGGTAATTAGAGCAAAATTCGTCATTTTAAAGTGACTTGAGATAACAGTAATACAATACTCAACAAACATCAGTTTTGTAAAAATCTAATATATAGAATTCACTAATTTCTCATTTAAATTATTAGAAAGGGAATATTTAATATAAACAGGTCAAACTGGAAATATTTTACATTTCCCTCAAAAGGCAAGACAGAAGGGAGAAAAATCTCTCAAAAGATGCTGAGTGGCAGTTTGCTGTTTCAATCACCAAATCAATAGGAAAAAATAGAATGTGGCACCAAAAGTAATGTTTATATTCTTCAGCCTGGCCCACTGGGCAACTGTCACAGGAAAAATTAGAGAAGAGCATCTGTTTCTCCTGCAAATGTGCAATGGAGATACTGCCTAAAATAGCCCTTTTCCATCAAGAAAAGAAAAGAAAAAGTCTTGTTTATCTCCACAGAAATATGTTTTCAAACAAAAACAATAGGCATCCCTCCAGGTTGATTTTCTGACTGCAAGAACAGATGCATATTACTCATCAAGGTAATATTCTTGAGCAGAAGTAGTCAACATTCAGTTTACAGCTTACTAGCATTAAAAAAAGCGTTTTAAAAAAAACAGCATATGTTGCATCTTTCACTTCTCCTTCACGCATAGCTAGAGTTCAGTTTCTTTTCAGAAAATATTTTTAAATGTCTTACCTTTACCATTTTGCCATGCAGTGTACCAGGACAAACTGAGAAAAGAAGTGATGAAAAATAACACAGTGGCCACAGTTCCATTTCGGAGCCTCATCTCATTTCAACATCACACTTGTTTATATTGTACTTGCGATTTGGATTGATCAGTTGTACTGAAGTCAGTTTATTCCACCATTAGCGTCACTTGACCAACAGGAATGAGAGATGTAGCTCTCTCATTTCAAAAGCTCTGTAAAACCAGTCCAGCAGTTACACCGCTTCGAACTTTCTCTCGAGTCACTCATTAGCCTTCATAAAGTAAACTTCTTTATGCTTCTACTCCTGTTTACAAAAGGAACACAATTGATCAGTTAGAGGCACAAAAATATATTCGTAAGCAGTCTCACCTCTATATCAAAACACATAATAGAAACACCATTAGTACTATGACACTCTTTACTAAAAAGGATACAGTCAAGTATGACTCAGATTAATTCTCCTCAGCTGTCACCCATTTTTGGGATATTTTCCTCAAAACTGAATACTACTTGACATACTAATATGTCCTTTTCATTAAAAAGTTTTGTTTTTGAAAAGACACAATTAACACAGGTTTTGTTTGTATGCTACAAATATCCGTAATATTAGTATTTGTTACAGAGGTACCAAACAGGACCAAGCCTCATCGTTCAAGTGCTGCACAGGTACATACTAGAATCACAGAAGATTAACTCTTCAAGAAAAGACCAATAGTCCAAGGCCTCAATCCTGTGAGTCACTGCACGTAAGTAACAGTGGTGCACTTGCACAGAGCATCACTGAAATCAACAAGACTATGCAGATGCAGTGGTGCACCGGTGAACAGTGAACTGAAGGATCAGAGCTCTAAATTAGCATTTCCAGAGTCACAGTATTTTAGTTAACTGCTCCTGACCCAAAATAGTATGCACAGGAACCCAAAACAGTGTTAGTCAGATGCACAGAAAACAATATGCTTTACTCAATTCTATGTGGTCCAGCAGTCTCCAACTTTCTTTCAACCACAGCTTTAGCTCTGGTATGGATTACATCAAGGCCTCAAAGCTCCTTCAACCTACACCGGCTAGCAGCAGTCCCCAAGGAATCATCTGAGAATACTACACTCTGGCCACCACTACCCTTCACACCAGGGTGTAGTGCAGGAGGTAGCTATGCCAGTATTGCCCAGCCAATAGCTCAATTTACTGGAAAATTCTAAGTATTCAGCCTTTTTGCCCTACCTGAGCAGATCAAACTTCCCAAAACATGACAATGTCTGGTTTCTGGGATTTTTTTTTTTTAAGTACCAGAGAAATCTGGAGGACTTTACGCATTTATGACATGGCATAAACATAAAGCCTAAGTACCTGATATTGTTTCTTTAAGATATGCCAGCTTTTCTATTTCAAATTCCATCTGACAGAAGTTTGTTACTCAGCTGGTAAGAATTTCTTTGGGTTTAAAGAGCACCTGGGACAATGCAATAAGATATAAGAATAGATAAATAGGAAGGGCAGAGTTGTGAAGAAAGAACAGGAGTACTTGTGGCACCTTAGAGACTAAGGGTACGTCTTCAATACCCGCCGTATCAGCGGGTAGCAATCAATTTATCCGGGATCGATATATCGCGTCTCGTTAAGACGTGATATATCGATCCCGGAACGCGCTCACCGTCTACTCCGGAACTCCACCAGAGCGAGCGGTGGTAGCGCAGTCGACGGGGGAGCCGCGGCCATCGATCCCGCGCCATAATTTGATCCAAGATACTTCGACTTCAGCTACGCTATTCGCGTAGCTGAAGTTGCGTATCTTCGATCGATCCCCCCCGGTGTAGATCAGCCCTAACACATTTATTTGAGCATAAGCTTTCGTGAGAGTTGTGAAAGACATTTAAGGTAGACAAGAAGATTGAATTTGATGTGAAGAAAGAGAGGGAGAACCAGTAGAGAGATTCAGAGAGAGGACTGACAACGGGTTGAATTATAGGTCAGGAAAAATTATTTAGCACCCCCATTTTGAACGGTCTGAGGGAGATGAGATGGACATACGGAAGGCCAGAGAGTAGGTTGCAGTAGTCAAGTCAGAAGATGAAGGCCTAAATGAGAGTTAAAGTAGTATGGACAGAGAGAAAAGATCTTGGAAGTGTTAAGGGAAAAAAGCAGTGAGATTTTTATATTGCCTGGATGTGAAGGATTGGAAAGAGGAAGGAACCTAAAATGACTCTCAGATGACAGGCCTAATTGACTGGGAGATTAATGATGTCAACAATGCTGACCATAACAGCATTAGGTTGATTTTAGAGAGCTATTATGATGATCTGCAGTAACATCTAGAGGTCCCAATCAGGACTGGGATCCCACTGTTCTGTACCAACACATAAGACAGTCATTGCTCAAAGAGTTTTTATAAGACAAGGCATTATATATGAATGTCTCAAACCACAGCAGAAAGGGGAAGAAAGTAAGTCACAGTAATATGTGCAAAACTAGATGTTTCCAAATGAAGTAAGTAGCATTGTGAATTTTGGTTGGTTTTGCTCTTATGCCATTCTTCTCAACCCCACCCCCTCCTTTTTTCCACCTATAACCTAGTTAACATTATTTAGGGGTACAGTAACTCCTCACTTAATGTCGTCCCGGTTAATGTTGTTTCGTTGTCACGTCGCTGATCAATTAGAGAACATGCTCGTTTAAAGTTGTGCAATGCTCCCTTATAATGTTGGTTGGCAGCCACCTGCTTCGTCCACTGTTTGCAGAAAGAGCAGCCTGTAGGAGTTAGCTGGTGAGGGCTTGGAACCAGGGTGGACCAACAGCCCCATATCAGCTCCCTAAGTTCCCTGTGCAGCAGCCGCCCAACAGGCTATCAATTCAGGTGTCCCTCCCCGCACTGCTGTGTGCTGTTCCCGCCCTCTACCTTGGAGCTGCTCCCAGGAGCCTCCTGCTTGCTGTGCCTGGCAAGGGGGAAAAGAGGAGTGCTAATGTCAGGGTGTCTCCCTCCCCCCCATTCCTGCACCCCATCTCCACAGAGCAGGGGGAAGGACAGGATAGGGCTCAGGACGGAGGGAGCCTGCTAGCAGTAGCTGCTGTCTCAAATTGCTGAGCTACGTAAAAAGGCAATGTACTTAAGAGTGGGGTCAGTGTACTTAAAGGGACAATGCACGTCTCTGTCTCTCACACACATGGTGTGTGTCTCTCTCTCTCACACACACACACACCACGACCACCACCCAGCACTTTGGAAAGTGGAGGGAGTGGTGCGCTCCAATGGGATAGCCTGGGTTGTCCATCACCCCTTCAGTTTCCAAGGTTTGCAGCCACTGCCATGCTGTGTCTCCTCCCTCCATTTGTACTGCCTTGTAGAGTGTGAGGCTACATTAACAATGTGTTAACCCTTGAGGGCTCAGCCGAGTGCTAGTTCATCATTTAGCAGTAAGACATTCCCTAGGAAATATCCCACCCTCTGACTCCACCACCTCAACCAAGCTTCAGAATCATCATTGCTGTGTACAGTATTAAATTGTTTGTTTAAAACTTATACTGTGTGTGTATGTGTGTGTATATATATTTTTTTGTCTGGTAAACAAAAATTCCCCTGGAATCTAACCCTTCCATTTACATTAATTCTTATGGGGAAATTGGATTTGCTTAACATCATTTCACCTAAAGAAGCATTTTTCAGGAATATAACTACAACATTAAGCAAGGCGTTACTGTACTACACTGCATCAGAGGCTGCACATTCTAAGACCTTATCAATACTAGAAAGGTTGCAACAATTTAACTAAAAATTTTTCCATTGATCTCGTTAACCCAGTGCATGCCCCAACGTTTACGTATTTAAACCACTTAACCCTCAGACATCGATTTAGTTTACAATAATTAGTAATTTAAGCAAAGTAATTTAGCAAACAAAGCTGATCTAAATGAGGGGTCAACCAGTTGAAATATATTTATATTATATGGTTTCTACCAATTTATCTAGATGTATTTAGTTAAACTTGTGAAACTTCCCCACTATGGACGATGTGACTAAAGGCCTGACTTTGCAAGATGCTTACGGCAATGACAGTTGAGAGCCCTCAACATCTCTCATCCCTATCTTACTGAATCAAATAATTGGCTAATGTCTATATACTTTCAGACACCTTTGGTCAATAGACATGAGGTAGTTTCAAATGTGTGCCAAAACCTGATATGCATTAATGCCCCAATCCTGCAGTCTAACTATGCATAAGTCTCCGTAGGATCAGGACCTACAGAACCTTGTGGTTCTGAGGAAACCTTAACACACACTGGAGCACAAGTGCCTACAAAACAGAATTCACAATAGCAAAAAAACACCCACACCTTTAAAAAGCTGTTTTGTTTAATATACAAAAAGAAAACATATAAAGAGAAAAATAAATGGATACATTCTCATTACAGCCTTTTTTAAACCCTTCCTTTCATTAGAGCATTTTTCTGTATGTAGGGTTAGGAGAACAAGTGTAAACACAGGACTGGAAACCAAAACCAAATTCGTTCTAATCTCATTTGGCACTGTCTACCACTGTTGCTTACAAGCAGGAAACCTCTCTGCTACAGTTTCCTCCTCCTCTGTCAAAATGAGGGCACTAGCAGTGCATCTACTTCACAGGATGGCTGTGAGGATTAGAGGTAAAATTGTAAGTCACTTTGAAGAAAGTCTCATGTATATCACGCTCAATCATAAAAATACTATAACCACTGAGCATTAGCAGGGTGCTCAAGACTGAAAAATCATGTGACCATCATAACAACTTTAGCAAAAATGAAAAGCAATTCAGAGATAATCAGAGTCAAGGCCAGACCACCCTGCTGTGCCTGGGGTTGTCCAGCACACAGGCTTGGCAGGACCAAACACCCTGTCTAGTTCCTAGAACACCAGACAAATTGAGGCTGGATTATTACCCTGGCTCCCCTGAACGGTCTCGCTCGCATCCCTTTACTGAGGTAGTTTCTCTCTTACCATCCCCCCTTGAGGGTCTTTACAGCTACATCCCTCTCCCCTGGTATCCCACAACGCCGGGGCAGCAGCGGAGCTCGCGGACCTGCCAACCGCCCCCACGCGTCCCGGGCTGCGCGGGTGCCGACTGGGCTGCTTCGGCAGCGGCGATAAATAACCGTCGCCTCGTTCCGCGGGGAGGGGGCAGCCCCCGCGGGGAGGAGCTTCCGGAGATGCGGTCCCTGCTCCGGGGGCGGCGGGGCGCCCATGGGAGCCGGGCTGGGGCACTGGCCAGGGAGACCCCGCTTGGGACCCCCGGGGACACGCAGCGCTCGCGGCACATCCAGGGAGGGGGTCCCAGCCCCCGAGGCAACGGGCCGGGCAGGGTTCGCCGGCGGCTTAGCCCAGAGGAACCAGCCCGGAGCCCCCGCAGCGGGGCCCCCACCTGCCCTCCGCGAGCCCCGGGCTGAAGAGGGGGCGTGTCCCGGCCGCCGCGCTCACCTGGGTCCGGGCCGCGCGGAGGGTGAGCCGCTGCCGCTCGCGGCTGCTAACGGGCCGCGAGCTACTCAGCCCGCACTGCCTCCACCCACCCCATAGAGCGGCGGCCGCTCCATCCGCCCGCTGCGCGGAGAGCCCGCCCGCTGCCGCTCGCCGGGCTGCCCATTGGCCAAATGGTTCCCCACGGCAGGCCAACCGCCAACCCCCCCAGAGGCGCCCTCTCATTGGCTCAGCCTCCTGTCAATCTCGCTTCTGGAGCTATAAATAAATCTCGCGCGCCTGAGCTAGTGTGGTGCAGTGCTTGGGCAGGGACTAACCGGCAGGTGGATCGCGCCACCGCCGCTTGCTGCTACATGCATTGCCTCTGAAAGGACACAGCGGCTGGCCGGTTCCGGCTCCGCACAGAGGGCTCGCTCCGCTTGAGGCAGCCTCAGGGCGTCTCTCAGTCTCGTGGGGCCAGGTGTGGCAAAGCTCGCTCTGTTGTGGTGCTCACAGAGCTGCCTGGAGCTCTCTGGGGGTGTCTCTCATAGGCTAACTGGGGCCCTGTCTGCTCCCGCAATCAGATATTGCGGGTCCCAAGAGGGCTTTAAAAAAAAAGGGAGGTGCTGTCTCTACAGAGCTGGTGTTTTTCAGCTTTCAAAAACAGAGGCCCTTCCCCACTTGAGCTAAAGAACAACGCCATTGCTTCACACTAGTATATAGGGTCACTGTATTTCAGGTTCCCCAAAAGAGGACACTGCTGGGGGGGGCAGTGAGAAGTGGGGGTTTTGGAGGGGGGGCCTGCAATAGGGGTACTCACTGGAGGTGGGGAGTAGTGTTTCTCAAATGGGGGGTCCTGACCTAAGAGGGATTTGCAGGGGAGTCACAAGGTTATTTTAGGGGGTTGCAGTATTGCCACGCTTACTTCGGTGCTGTTTTCAGAGCTGGAGAGTGGTGGCTGTTGGCCGGGCACCCAACCCTGGAGGCAGTACCCCACCAGCAGTAGTGTAGAAGTAAAGGTGGCAATACCATACCATGCCACCCTTACTTCTACACTGCTGCTGGCAGCAGCTCTACCTTCAGATACTTTTCAAACACACTCCAATAGTAAGGTAATACCCAGTTGAGCACAAACCTCAATTGCATTTGGTGGCTGCTAAGATTCCTCAGGAGTCCTTGCCCCACACCCAAGATCCTTTATCCTCAAAGAGCCACTTCCACCTTGCTTATATGCAGGAGATGCTACAATCCACTTAACCTTTTCCCAGTAGAATCAAACCTGCTACCAGGGTGAGATGTTTCAGACAAACACTGCCAACCTGTTACACATACATACTGTTACACAAAACCTTGAAATGTAGATACAGCTTTGAAGTAATAAAAATGAACTAAGCAGAGTTGACAGCTATCTCTGTTCCTCCCCAGTATCAAAATACTGTGTTTTACATCAAGCTGAATAAGGTCCATGGTAATTTACTCTGTATGACTGTCATTTTTTATCCTTTAACTCTATCAGATATCATCCTGCCATTGTTTAATTGCACCTTTCCCAAAAGATTTACAGACCGTGAAAGCATGCTTGTATGCTACCATCAAAATCAAACAGCATCATCAAAATTAGCATGGATAGCAGCCCTCCAGACTTATGAAGGTATGTCTGCCATGTGGTTCTAGTTAACAATATCCAATCCTTTTTCCTCTCCCAGTGTCACACACTAACTCTTTTGTGTAGGCCAGGTCAGTGCTAGAAACTAGCCAGTTTAGTAATGTCAGTTAGGGGTGTGATTTTCTTTACAACATTTCTATACTGGCAAAAACTTTAGTGTAGATGCAGGTATAAGCACATAAAAGTCATTTTTCCAGTGTAGCTTATTTCACTCAGGAAACCAGTATAAACTGTATTAAAAAGCCATTTTACATGGCAATTGTTTCATAAGGATACTTTCTCTTCATTCAGTAAGGCCAAATTTACATTAGGAGGGTTTGCTGGTATAGCTATGCCAGTATAGCTACACTTTGACATTATCTCTTTAGCTATTAACTTCAATAGAGTAACTAAAAATAGAGCTTTCCACAACATCCAACTTTTCCCCCTTGGGTTAGTTGCATGACAAGAAAGGCAAAATAGAGAACAGAAAAAATTCAGAGTAAGGACACCAACCATCAACTTGCACCAATCCAACAGTAAGCAAATATCTATCGGCATATTTTACCATTTGAAAAGTAGAAAATTCCACAGCTAAGGACAATTGTGCAACTGGGTCTGCAATAAAATAAATTTGGCCTCTTTAATAGAAGCTTCATAATAGTAATTGTTTCTGGTAAGAGTGGCAGTACACCTTGGAAACTGAATAGTGTCTCACACCTGTAATTCCTCAACAAATCTTTTCTTTCTTTGTGATAGTCCGATGTATTCAACTCCTATAAGCAACTGAAGTTTTGAAATATAGTTCATAGGTCTACACTGTTTTAATTTGAACATGTAATTGAAATAAATTAACTCTTCCAATAAAACAGCTTCATTTTTAAAAGCAACGCTTGAAGAGAAATCACTATAAAATGAATAAGTTTAAACCCTTAGAGTTCCACTTTAGCCTGGTGAAAGAAGACCAAGGGCAGTCAGTCTATTCTATACCAACATTAAAGAGACAGTGGCAATCAATGGTATCTCAGCATAATAAAGATCTCCTGCTGCAAGGCATCTGCCAAGGCATTTATCAAAAGTAAATGTCAAAATGAAGTCAAAGTGTTACAAGAAACATCAGATCTGTGGTGATTTTACTGTAGATTAGTGACTATTTCTGTTATACCAAATGACCGGTTTACATTCATATTATCTAATGGAGCCATAAGGTTGTCACTATTCATCAAGTTTGGAGCTCCCTTTGCCAGGCACCTGTACTTTCTCCTAATTCTTTCAGCAGCATGGATCCTTGTTTGTGCTGCTTTCCTAGAGAGCGAGAGCAATGGAACAAGAATGGTAAAATGGGTAAGAGTGGGGAGAAAAAGAGTGTCTGACTTTACATGTGGTTTGGTGGTAGGGTGTCCAGTGTCCTGACCGATGTGTGGTCGGGACACTGGACAAACAAGGAAATGCTCCGGAGTCAGGAAGTGCTCGCGCCACTCCCCCCCCCCTCCTCCCCCCCGACTCCGCCCCCTCCTCCCCCCATTGGCTCCCTCCCCGAATCCCCGCCTCTTCCCCAGGCTCACCATTCCTCCTTCCTCCACAAGCTCTGGAGGGAGGCCCCGGAGACGCAGGGGGAGCGCAGTGCCAGGGTGAGTGAGAGTCTGTCCTGGCCCCAGTGGCTGTTCTCCCACCCTGGGCAGCGGGACTCGGGAGCAGCCGCTGATGAAGCTCCCACTGCCGCAGGGAGAGGAAGCGGCCGATGGCCAAGCTCGGCGGTTGCGGCTCTGGCCTGAACCCCCCGAGCCCGGGCCTGCTGCGGTGACCTAGCAGCGCGCATGCTGCACCCGGACCCTGGCCAGTCGTGTCTGGGCTGGCTGCCCAGCTGGTGCAATCCCGCGGCGACCCCAGGGCGGAGGCATCGGCAGCCCAGGCCCGTTCGTTCCCATG